CCCGCCCCCTTCCCATGCTGCTCAGAGCAGCAGGAGCTTGCAGCCCACACTGCCCGGCAGGAGCGGCAGGCCAGAGCACTGGCGGCAGGGGGAGCTGAGGAGGACAGCAGGGGAGGGGCCGGGGGCTAGCTTCCCGCGGGCCGTAGTTTGCCCACGTCTGATCTAGGGTATGGCTGAGCAGTCCTGGTGCAGAGACCTAGGAACAGCCAAGCCCAGGGAAAAGGTCTGAGATGAACCTCATGCTTAATCATTGTTAATTGTCAATAAAACCAGGAGAGGGTGAGTTGGGAGTTGAGGTAGTGCGTGGATTGTGTCCGAGCACGTTGGGAAAGGAACCGGCCCACAGCAGAGATAATGCATCCTCTTATTTGTACTGCGTTCAGAGTCAAGCGTTTTTATTTTGGAAGGCAGAGTACCGCTCGTCACTTTTCCTTCTGGAGGGCAGGACAGTCCGTTCCAGGAGGGAGGCAAAGCAAGGCTAGCTAACCTGCTCCCAGTCTCTTGGGATCCCTGCGAAAACAGGAACACCCACGCCAAGCCCTGGGGAGAGCTTGTGTCATCCCGGTGGGGCTGCCTGGAGCCTTAAGATGCTCAGCAGAGAGTCTCTTCCAATGCTCGCTGGCCAACAGCAGATGTCCTGCCAGAGTCTCGGCCTAGAGAGGAGTTTTGACCAGTGCTTTGAATGTGGCACCATGGGCGTGGTGGCACATGCTGCGCAGCAGCGCAGGACCCGCTGGATCCACGCCTGGCAGCATTGGAGGGGTGCGGTCTGAACTGATCCGTGCGGGAGTGGCGGGACTGGGAAAACAGGCAGGGCCATGAGGAAGGAGCGGCCGCTAAGCAGCGTTTGCTCTGTTTGCAGGAGACACAGCGGTGTATAAAGAGGGCACGTACTGGATCAGGGGCCGCACCTCTGTGGACATCATCAAAAGCGGAGGCTATAAAATTAGTGCACTAGAAGTCGAGCGCCATCTGCTAGCACACCCCAGTATTGCAGGTAAGGTGCAGCACCTTGTGTTCGCTGCTCTCGGCTTTGGAGGGGGGTGGGCAAATTAAAGTGTTATTGAAGAGTTCTACCTGGAGACTGTCCCAGGGCAGGCAGGCACTGGGCATGCTTCCCCCAGGCATCTCTGTCCCAACTGGCAGTGCCCCCCAGGCCTCCAGCTGATAGGAGACTGGCGAGGGTGCGGAATTGGGCCAGAATGTTATTGAAGCCCAGGTCTCTGAGCGTGTTTGCAACCATGGCCGCTCCGTGAGCTCTTGTTACTGGCAGAGCTCCGTTCCGGCTGTGTTAGCTGCTGTGTTCTGTGCTGTGCAGTAATGAGGATAGAAGGCATATGAAGGAGGTGCCATTGGGGAGCCTTGCTTGGGTTTAGCCCAGAAGAAGCCGATGTGAGACTGCCTGAGGGTTCTTGCCTGGAGGCCGTTTCCCAGCCTTTCCATTAGCAGGGTTGGGTGTCAGTGACAAGCAGACTGAATTCAGAGCCCAGCGCTGCAGGGCCTCTGTGGCTGAAGCCAGGAAACTCACAGCCAGGTGCAGATTCAGCAGCAGCTCACGTCAGATTTTGGAAATGAGAAATTTTCATTAAATCTTCCCTGAGCTCCTTGCTGACCCTTCATGAGAGGAGGGAATCGGTGCGCCGCCACGGCAGGGTGCCCAGTAGGGGGTGGAATAGGTGCAGGGCAGGACAGGTCTCTCTTTATCCAGGCTACTTGGGGAGCTTTTCCGCTCTCTGTTAGACCCTGGTATTCTTCTGTCAGCTCTACCCTGTTACTCCTAGTAATTCCTCCCCCAGTCGATCCTCTCCTTCCCGCTACGGCCGTCCTGCCCACCTGTCTATGGTCTCACCAGCTTGCACAGAGTTAGTTCTTCTACGCTCTTCTCCTGGTCTCTGGGAAATGGGTCTGAGTTTCTTCAGGCTGAGTCTTTTGCTCTTTCTCCAGATGTGGCTGTGATAGGACCTCCAGACATGACTTGGGGCCAGCGGGTCAGTGCTGTGGTGAAACTGCAGGAGGGTGAGATGCTGTCTCTCAAGGACCTGAGGGACTGGGCAAGGTAAGTGCCAGTCATGGGACAGTGCACAGCAAATGCTGTAGTCTACTATCAGTGGGGTTGATAGCACCACCTACTCTTAAGGTTGTCTGATACTTCCCATTATAATACTCTTTTTCATTTGCTTATAACTTTGCCAAACTTCAACTCTTTGGGTTGCAGTTTCCATGGGACTTGTATGCTGAATTATTTTGGAAAGTTTCAGCCAATATGGTTCATCCAATTCCAAGAACAAGTTATGGGGGAGAGAAGATACATTGATTTACCATAAAAAAAAATCCTGGCAACCTTTTCTTTGAGAAACTCTAGTGCCCATGTGCTTTGGAGCAGGGCTCTGAAATGTAGCCAGAGTTGGCCACTGAGTCAGGAATGTGCCTTTTGCTGTTCCCATGAAAATCCACTCAAATTTGGCCAAGTTATAAACCTCTGAAAAAACTCAGTTCACACATCCTGTCAAACTGAGAGGACAGACCAAGTGGGGTCCTGCAGGGGATTGTCCTAGGTGTAGTACTAGTCAACATTGTCATTAATGATGATGATGATAGAGTGGAGAGTATGCTTATAAAATTTGCCCCAAACTAGGGAGGTGTTGCAGGCACTTTGGAGGACAGGATTAGAACTTGGTGTGAAATCAACAAATGAAATTCAATAAAAGCAAGTACAAAGTACTACACTTAGGAAGGAAAAATATGCACAACTACAAACTGGGAAATAACTGGCTAGGCAACAGTACTGCAGAAAAGGGTCTGGGGGTTGTGGTGGATCACAAATCGAATATGAGTGAACAGTGTGATACTATTGTGTAAAAGGCAAATGTCATTCTGGGGCATATTAACAGGAGTGTTGCATCTGAGACACACAAGGTAATTATCTTGCTCCTCTTGGCACTGGTGAGGCCCCAGCTGGGGTACTGTGTCCTGTTTTGGGCACCACACTTTAGAAAAGACATGAACTAATTGGAGAGTGTCCAGAGGAGAGCAACGAAAATAAGAGGCTCAGAAAATACAATCTCTGAGGAAAGGTTGGAAGAATTAGGAAAGTTTAGTCTAGTAAAAGATGGCTGAGGGGGGAACCTGATACCAGTCTTCAGATATACGAAAGGTCGTTATAAAGAGGACAGTGATCAATTGTTCTCCATGGCCACTGATGGTTGGACAAGAAGTAATGGGCTTAATTTGCAGCAAGGGAGATTTAGATTAGATATTAGAAAAAACTTTTGAACAGTAAGGGGAGTTAAGTACTAGAATAGGTTACAAAGGGAGGTTGCAGAATCCCCGTCCTTGGAAGTTTTTAAGAACAGGTTAGAAAAGTGGCTGTCACCGATGGCCTAGGTTTACTTGGTCCTGGCTCCACGTGGGGGGATGGAGTAGGTGTCCTCTTGGTCCCTTCCAGCCCGACATTTCCCTGAGTCTGTGCTCAGGAGAGATTGTTTAGAGTTTAGCAGCTGAAATCCTGAAAGATTCCACCCTCACTGGCCTGCGCTGTCCCCTCACTGCTCCTCGGTGTGACTGCCAGTTGGAAGGGCTTGTAACATAGTTTGGTTGTGTGTAATTATTGACGTAAGTGCAGAGTGGCGGAGAGGCAGCGTGGGTCCTGTGATGGAAGAGTTCAGTAGTAAGACATGGTTTCATTTGGAGGCCACTCATAGTCTGCTGCGGTCTCAAAGGGGCGTCTGGTGTGAACGGCTCGGAGCAGCGAAAACACACTCAGCCGGTCTGTTAGTTTGGGGCGTTGGTCACCAGAAGGAATGAACTAACTGAACCCAAACAAAACCAAAGTCCTGCGTTAGGTCAGAACCGGGCTGTAAGCAGCGCTGTCTGCCACGGGGCCCGGGATGCGGAAAGCTCAGCAGGTCCTGAGACCCGGTGCTAACTACTCACCGCGGAGGAGGTAATGGAAGGGAATGGGCTGCGCTCCCCAGAAGTGCGCTTGACAAATGGTGCAGTAATGAGCTGGTTCTCTGCTCACTAGTGGAAGTTGCACCCTCTGTAGCCAGAAGGGGCTGTGCAGGGGAGAGGGGGAACAGGCCCCAAAGCACCGTCACTCACGGAACACAGTGTGGCCGAGAACAGGAGCTAAAGCAGGGACACTGGGGGAGAAGCATCATGGTTCCTCCCCAGTTGTTTCCACCAAAGCAGGGACCTTTGCTCAGGTCTCGGCCTATAATGCTGCTGTATCCCCCCATCCTCCTTCCTGTCCATTTGTTCGTCAGCCTTGGGAAGCCCGTCCATCGGGTCTCCTCTCCATCCCAGCGGGGGGGCCGTAAGGCCCAGCACAGCAAAGGGAGCCCTTCCAACACCATGTGCACGTGCAGTCGTGGGAAAGGTGCCTGTAGCTCAGAGGCATGCAGTGGCACAGCATTTCTGCACTGAAAGCCCGAGGACTCTGGGAGCCTCCGCAGCAGCTGAGAGACGGAGAAGCAGGATCACTTTTGTTTATTATTTATTTTAGTATTCCACTAGCAAAGTATATAGTCATGGAGCCATTTGTTTTCCTGGAGACTCCTCTCCCTAGGGCTGCGGATCGTTCTGGGGAGGCTGGCGCTATTTCACAAACAGTAGGAACACTTGTTTCATCAAGGGCTGCACAGCTGGCCAATTAAAGATTCCCCTGGATTTGCAAAATCGCAGTTGGAAGACTACAATTTAGCAAATGCAAGGAAGATTCTAGTTGGCCAGCTGCTGCTCTGATTAAACAATTACTTTGTGGGAGAAAAAAAATCAAACAAAGGAACCAAACCCACGCTGGCTGGTCCGACAGAGCCAGGGCCGGCTCCAGGGTTTTGGCCGCCCCAAGCAGCCAAAAAAAAAAGCCGCGATCGCGATCTGCGGCGGCAATTCAGCGGAAGGTCCTTCGCTCCAAGCCGGAGTGAGGGACCGTCCGCTGAATTGCCGCCGAATAGCTGGACGTGCCACCCCTCTCCAGAGCGGCCGCCCCAAGCACCTGCTTGCCAGGCTGGTGCCTGGAGCTGGCCCTGGACAGAGCAGCCAAGTCTGAGCCCCAGCATCCTGCCTCCTGCTGGCACTGCTTCCCGCAGTAAAAACGTATTACTCCTTTTACACCCACTAGTCTGGGAATCCTGCTTCTCCCAGGGGGGCTGAACCTGCCTGGCAGTCTGCTCCATGCCTTTACATTGATGGGCTCTGGGAATTATGGCTGGGACGCACCTCCCGGAGAGGGGGAAGCAGTTCTAATGTGTTTGCAAATCTCCACGAGCTCTGCTAGCGAAAAAGGAATGTACTTCCCCTGTCACTGGGACTGAGGCACTGAGACAGGGCGTGTGGCAGGGTGGCAAGTTGGAGATGAAGGCACCACAGAGTGTTTGTTTGATAGCCACTGTGCTTGTCTTACTGATAGGACTGGCATTGTCTCCAGCGGTTCCCTATTACAGCCCTTTCCCACACAGCCGTCCCACATACTGGCTAGACGGCAGCTCAGAAAGACCCTCCTGGCCTGTGTTGAATGCTGGTGCCCAGCGCGGCGCAGCCCCCAGAATGCCGGGATGCATCGCTGTTGATAATTACTCTTCGAGCGTGAGGCCGGCAGTCACAGATGTTTCCTGCGGCACTGTCTGGACCAGCACATGCAGGTGTGCCCAGACGCTCCAACCAGCCCTCCCTTACTGTCTCCAGTTAGTGCATCTTCCGAAGCACAGGCAGGGAGATCTGTGCTGCTCTGTGACCTCTCTGCTTTTGTCTTTGCCGGGGCTTCGTTCGCCTTTGTCTAGTCACGATCTGCCCTTCAATCAAGCCAGTCCGCAGGGAGAGAGCGCTCCCATCTCCTCTGTTCCTGGTGCTTAGATCCTCTCCGGCTCACACTGTGATTCTTTGCCCGTGCGCCGCAAAGATAGGAGCCCTGCAAATTAAGCCATTCAAATGTGAAGAGAGGAGAAATCCAACTAGTGCCTGCTGTGCCTTAGAAGGGGCAGCGAGAGCCCCAGGAAGCGTCCGTGCCCCTCGCCCATGCGCTGTCTTGGTGCTGTCTCCCAGGCACCACGCTCACGCTGGCTTTTCCCCTCAGTCCGCATGGCTCCCTCTCGCTCTGTCTCTCCCTTTATTTGATGTGTCACTTACGTTTGTTTTGCCCCTTCCTCGTACTCACTGGCAGGCGACACATGTCCCTCTTCAGCGTGATTCATTTTGCAGCTTTCGCCTCCAATCTCGTTTCCCGGTGACAGGCGCCGTCCTGAGTGAGAGCCGTCCATATGGTCGGATGTGTTGATTGTTGGGTTTGGGTGGCGGGGGGGAGGGATGACGGTTGAAGAGCTCAGTGGACTTGGCAGGTTGCATTAGAATCAGTGCCAGGAGCTGGGTATGGCCCCAGGTTGGTGACACGCAGGCAGCAGAAGGCAGGAGACAAGCCCCCTGCTCTTCAAAGGCCAAAGAGACTTGGTTCCTGAGCTAGTTCTGTGCTGAGCCTCCCTCCTGTGACAGAGAGAAGGAGCAGAGATTCATAGATTCTAGGACTGGAAGGGACCTCGAGAGGTCATCGAGTCCAGTCCCCTGCCCGCATGGCAGGACCAAATACTGTCTAGCATGGGCCTGCATGTGTAAGAGCGTACACGTCTGGGTGTGAGGGGCACACAAGTTAGCATTTGGGCATAGCTGGCCGGCCTGCGAGCGCATCTGTTACGTTCTAGGCAAAGCGACTAGTAACGAGGAGACCCACTCAGAATTGTGTCATTTTCCTTCATGATATTACTCTGCATTTATCGTTTGTTTTCCCTGCCACTGCTAATGGTAAGGATTGATTAGTATCCATTCGGCGCTATCCGTTCTGCTCACTGAAGGCAGTTCACCCTCCCCTCTCTGGGGCACGCTCCGAGGTTTGTGATGCGTTTTTTAACCAACTGGCGTGCACAGGCAATGGGGGTGTGAAGGGACTGGGGAGCCCAGTAGGACTGTGATTGTCTCATCCGTCCCCAGCCAACATCTGGTTTGGGTCGCAAGTGACGGGAGTCTCACTCTGCATCGTAGAGCGGACGTCCCCATGTCCCCAGCTGAAAGTGAATCCACGGCTGACGCTCCCAGCAAACTCGGGAAGGGCCAGCTGCTGCGGAGGATCTCACTCAAACACCCTGCGCCTCTCCTTTTGGCACTGTTATCCTCACTGCTCCCCCAGCTCCTTGGCTCTGCACAGACGCTACTGGGAGGCACCTGATTTCCAGTTCCCTGTGCTAGGAAGAGGCTCTTACTGCCCATGTGTCAAATCCCCCCTGCAAACCCACATCTTTCGTCAAGCCCCAGGTGTGGAACTCCTTCCCTGAGGGTCTCTGCAGCGCTTCCCTGGGCTTGTGTGTGTCTGAGTTAGGCAGGGAGTTTCCTGGAGCTGACATACCAGTGACATCACACTCCTGTGGTTGTGACGTCATAGCCACCCCTCAGTGGAATGAATTGGGGGAGAGGTCTGCTCACACCAGATCCCTTATGGCAGGGGTCGGCAACCTTTCAGCAGTGTGTGCCGAGGCTTCGTTTATTCACTCGGATTTAAGGTCTCGCATGCCAGTCATACATTTTAACCTTTTTAGAAGGTCTCTTTCTCTAAGTCTATAATATATAAACTATTGTTGTATGTAAAGTAAATAAGGTTTTTAAAATGTTTAAGAAGCTTCATTTAAAATTAAATTACAATGCAGATCTGATCAGTTTAGTGTGATCTTTGCCCTTGCTGAGTTTTCCAGTGTCCGGCCCGGATTTGGATACTTGAAGCTGCACACAAGCTTCTGAGGGATCAGTTGTTAACCGGCCCCGAGAGGGACACAGGACCGATTTCAGGTGTGAAAATACCTGTTCACACAGGTATGTGGCTCCAAATGCTGAAAGCATTGCCAACACAATTTTCTTCAGACAGTTAAATTTCACTGGCAGGGATGTCCAGCAGGTCAGAATAGAGGCCCCATGATCTCTCTCGGTAGCTTCAAGTGCGCGCCTTTGATGCCCACAATTCTGAGCTTTTTAACTGAATGAGCTGCATTTCGAAATCTTCAACACCCATCCACTGAAATACAGACAAATCCAAGTCGCTTTTGTTCAACTTTTCAGGTTTAATTAGAAAAGCAAGCATTGGGCCAAATCACGGGAAATCTTGAAATCTGTCAGAAAATTCTGGTTCCTGTTCTTGCATGTACATTCTAATCGCAACGTCAAATGCAGTGCGCTGTTCCAT